GGGCGCGGGGCGCAGGGCGCGGGCGCGGCGGGGCTGCCCGGGAGGCCCTGACCGAGCACGTGCCCCCCGCCCCGCCCGCAGACCGTGTGCGCGCACTTCCGCCAGGCGCCCATCCCCGCGGAGCTGCGCGGCGTCCACCGCTACCTGGACAGCGCGCTGCAGGAAAAGGAGTTCAAGTACACGTGTCCGCACAGCGCCGAGATCCTGGCGGCCTACCGGCCCGCCGTGCGCCCCCGCTAGCGCCCCCGCCCCCTCGTCTGCGGCCCCATAAAAGCATCCGCGCCCAGTAAGCGTGTCCTGAGATCCAGGGGCCAGAGGCCCCGCCATTAGTGCCGCCCCCAAGTACGCACGGTGGGATGTTCAGCTCCACTTGACAGTCCAGAACGGTGGCCCATCCCCCCGCGCTGAGCCAGAGCACAGGCTCGGGCTTCCTGCAGTCGCCCTGCGCCTCGGGGACTGGATTGGGCTCTCAAACCAGTCAGGCCGGGCGGGGTGGGGCGCCCTGGATGGCCAAGGAGGGTGGGGAGCGGAGCCCCTCGGAGCCCAACCTCGGGGATCGGATGGGTGGGGAGTGGCCCACATTCCTCAGCCCTGCCAAAGGCAGGAAGACAACCCCCCTTCCTGCAGGGGGCTTCAGACAGCCCTGTGCGCACGGTGCTGGTGGTTCAAACACGTATCTGCACAGAACGTCCTCCTGTGTGTATTCTCGTGTGGGGCACCTGTGGCCATGTCCAGCCTTGCTAGAACGTGGAAGGGTGGGAGCAGTGTCACAAGCCTTGGGGAGCCCTGGGCCTGCTTGCTGGGCCTCTCTCAGCTCCTGCGCTGGCCAGGTAGGAGTAGATGGAAAGGTCTGAAAGAGCTGGCAGCCCCCAGACCCAGGAAGAGGAGCCTGGTGCATCTGTTTACAGCCTGTGGCCCCATGACCAGAGTGCAGACCCCACGGGGGTTTCCTGATCCCCTCCCAGGCCAATTCCCAGGAATCAGAGCCTGGCCAACACCTCCACCTGAGCGATTCTTTTATTTGATGAAGAGACTTGAGAAGTAGCCTCATTCTTGCTTGGCAGCAGAACAATTAGGTAGAGGTGGGGGTGGAGCTTCCACTGGGGGGCTCAGGGGCTCTCCCTCCCCTCACAAGCAGGCTCCTAGCAGGGCCACAGTTTTTGCTACACCATCAGGATTCATCAAAATCTACACCACCAGCTGGTTTCTTACTAGGAAAGAAGAGTGAAGATGTGAGGGTGTGGGGGAGGGACAGGGGTCCAGGGTTGGACCCTGGGCACAGGCTGGAGTGGGTAGGCGGGTACCTCTTGAAGCCGGGGTTGATGAGGGACTCTCCTGGACACCGTCTCCTGACTCCAGGTCCGGGGCCACCCCTCTGGGGATCTGGGTCTGGGGGAGAACATGATTGGGGGAGGGTCTCCTAAATCCACAGCACCCCTGGCCACGACCCTCTCTGTATAGATAGACAGATCTTCTCTCTGGAGCTTGAGGCTTGTTCTGGGGAAACTGAGTTCCACAGGAAAGAGCACAGCCCCAACCCAAGTCACAGGTTGATACACCTTACCTGGTAAGAAGAGCTGAGGCCCCGATGGTCGGGGGGTCTTCCTGGGGCTGGCGGCTGTTTCTTCTGCAGCTGGAGAAGAAAGCCAGTGGACATCCCACTCGGTGCCAGGAGTAGGGGCATTAGCAGGGGGACCCTAGTGAGGGTGTGGGGTACCCTCTCCCCACCCTACCTGCTAGCCGCCGCTCCAGGCAGCACACACGCTCTGCCAGGCCCAGGGTTAGCGCCTGCAACCTGGGAGCTGCCTCTGCACTCGGCACCTTGGAGAGGTCAAAGGCCAGCGCTGAAGGACCCCCTGAAAGGGTCAGGGATGCTCCATCCTCCTGTAGGGTCAGAGTCACAGCTTCCTGTTTGCAGGCTGCCCTGGGAGAGAAGAGGTGCTGAGTGCTGTGGCCAGACCCACCCGCTCCCCACGTGCCCTTCCTCCACGCATTGGGCTCACCTGAACCGGGGGGTGATGTCCTCAGCCGCACTCAGGCCAAAACGGTCTTTCTACAGGGCACAGGGGCTTGTCACCAGATACCTGGGACCCTAGACCCACCGGGGGACACCCCAAACCTGCCCGACGCCGCAGCCACCTGGGATCTCACCCAATTTTAGGACCACAGCTACAGGGCGGGGAAAGCGGGTGCTTTCCCTTCTAGGGAATCCCAGACCCCCTTCACCCCACAAGTGGCCCGGGCTGCAGGTAGGGGGTGTTGCAGGAGCCCTGCTACCCACGAGGGCCGCCAGGCTGTCCGGCGTGAAGCAGGTGCTCCAAAGCTCCGCGGCGTCCGTCACACTGGGGAGGGAGGGACAGTCAGGCGGGACCGCCCGCAGAGCTCTCGCCTGCCCACCTCCCCGCGACCCCCACTCACTAGAGATTGAAGTCGCCGCGGTTCCCGTCCCCGCTTCCCTCCCCCTCGCAGTAGCACACGAAGCGGGGCGGCCCGGGGCCCGGCGGCAGCGTGCAGAGCGGCGGCGACTGCGGCGGCGGTACCGTAGCGGTCGCCGGGTCGGGGACCCTGGCGGGCGGAGCTTGGGGCCGGGAGGGGCGGGC